ATATAGTAAATATTCTAGGACAGACACCTAAAACATAAAAATAATTTAATATATCTAAAAATATCGAGAATGTTATTGTTAGCGGAGCATTTCGCGGAATTAAAAGCGAACTGGTATTATTTCAAAGTGTGCAAGTCAGCGCAGTCGCTTCATATAAATATGTAAGCGAAGGAAACGCTGACGTCTGCGTTCCGCTGAGTCTGCGGAAACCGCGTCAATTAACTTGGCCGCGATGACATATTAGCCTTTGTTCCGCGCTTGCTTCTCCGCACTACCCACTGGTATTCACTTGTAAGAAACTACTTACGTAAAAGATATTACTTTTAATACTTTCAGTACACTCAAAGGCAAAGTTTTATATTGCTACGGAAAAAAATATTGAACAAATTATAATTTTAATATCTCACCTGGTCAACGGCCAGGTGTGACACAATTAAATGCCGAGTCAATTCTAAATTAAATAGAGCCACTGTGAAAATACAAAGTTTACTAACTGTCAATGTCAAACAAAGAAGATGAAAAAAGTTTTTTCTTCCAATTCCATTTTCTTTCACGATTCCTCTTTCACAGTCTCTAAAAGTTTTCAAAATAAGAGGTTTTCGCGAGAGTCTCAATTATCGATAAAGACGATATTAAAAATTCGTTTGTTTTGTTCTTAGCTTGCGCCCGGAGAGTGGTGCCCCTTTTTTTCCATTGTTTGCGTAAGAAGGGAAAGCAGAAGCGGCGACAAACGATAATCAGAAATTTGAATTTCGCCCCCGCAAGTACTGACAAAATCATTCGATTTTGTGCGTCGTTTATCATCGCAATTAATTAGGCGAACAAAAAACTTATTATCTTCGTTTTAAAAGAATTTGTTTATGTCAGTGAACAGTTCGCACCAGTTAATGTACCTAAAAAACTTTGCCTTTTACATTTTTTTTAGCAATTAATTCATTGAGATGGCTTTACCGGGAGTTCCTCGGAATTACCGTCCTTTATCGGTCTTGTTTCTATACGTGCTAGGAAATTTAATGTACATAGATGCTGTTTGATGGTACCTATAGAGAAGTGATGAAGGAACATGGTCTAAATGTATTCGTGGGCATTATAGTGTAACATATACGAGGAAATGCTCCTGTTCCCTTAATGTATTCATGTAATTCGCATAGCCGGGATCCCCTTTGACCGGCCACGCAACACTGCACTGGCTGCCTGGATAGAGTAATATAACGTGATGTTTTAAAACCATCCATCACGTTTAATGTCTATATAAAAAGAAGGAGCTAGCGTGCTGACTCTCCGCCAGATTTTTTTGCAATTCGCGAATGTTCTAATTCCAAAATACATTTTGATAACATTTCATTCCAATATTTTTAAAAGATAAAGAACTTTTAATATGCAAATGTAGGTTGTGCATAACTGAATTTTGATATTAAAGTTTGCAATCATTTTAATAATACAGTGTAATACAATATTATTTCATGATACATTTTATACTTTGTATAAAAGTCGTCTACATGGCACCTCTGTCCCACTCATATTTTTATTGCCAAGTATTTATACCTGCAAAACTATGTTTAGATTTGAAATATCGATAAAATTACTGAATACATTGGTGTGTTACCTTAGTCGCATTAGCTAGGAATGTAATATGCGTCGCAATACATAGTAGTGAGACCTGTCCCAATCTGCTAGTGACGATTACAACCACTTATCATCTGGTCTTATAATTAATCTAACCATGCAAAATTTTTCTGTTGTCCAATAATGATATTCAAATAAATAAAAATTTTACTATTTATTGAATATTTTTCGTTGTTACTAATTTTATTCGGAGAGTGTTTATGTGATAATTTTAACAAAACTTAACTGTATTCTTATATTGAAATTTCATGATTGTTTCAATAATATAGTGTAATATTATTTTAGTTGTATTGTATTCTCGGTGTGGTTTACCCGAATTATGAATTGACTGCACTTAAACATTCAACAGCCCAAATACAAAGGCAAGTGGTTTCCAACTAGCCGTAGCGGGTTAAATAAAACCTCAAGCATCGGCTACTTGAATATAAAAACGGTAGGATGCGGACGAGCTAGCTCTGTGCTGCCTCCAATTTGCATTAAATGCGGCTTGCCCCCACTAGTGATAATTCACATATATATCAGAATTGCAAAAGTAACAGAACTTAATTCACGTTCTGTATAAAATTGTAGTCATATCCAACTCTACGTTTTACAATAAGCACCGCAGTGTAACACGAAATGTACGATCTAATAACTCTTTTCATATGACTTCAGGTCTTTTATTAAATACATACTCTTAATATGAGTAGAAAATAATATCTACTGATAGATTAAATCAATTTAGATTTAAATTTAGGTATTTTCACTGGATAGTACAAAATATTATTAAATAATAATATATTCCGCTAGTTTGTCCACGTGGATTAGCACTTTATTTATATCAACCGTCGATGTATCAAATTTTTATTCAAAATCGTTTAGCCCCTGAAGCACGTAAATGCAAACATCTTTGCAGATTTTTACATTCATATTATACTAGCTTTGGCCGGCAACTTCGTCCGCAAGGGGGGAAATGGATTGTTAGTAATGGAGACTGAGAATCCCATTGCTAGCAATATACCCAACCAGGTCGACCTCCTCGCGGTTCCCCCTGGAAACTATTATGGTTAATTCATGCTGACCTGTTTTCATTCTCATCTATTACCCTTCACTGATGCTCCGCCAGTGTATCCCGTTGGCGCAGGCGGGGTTGCCATACCATTTTTACCCATCAAAAAAAAAAACTTCGTCCACATGTTTGGATTATGTTTACTGACTGCGATAAGAATATATATCCTTCTTCATCCCATAAAGTAGGTGTGTACCAAATTTCATAGTTATTGGGCGTAAAGCGTTATTAGGTAATAAACAAACCAATAGGAGTGGACAATATTTTTTAATTATAATACTTATATATTGGCCTAATGAAGGATACATTAAATATTCATTGTCTAATGTATTACATGGAAATAAGAAATGAATACAAATATCCAATTAATATGGGCAATATCGAAATTGGTGATAATCGTTTTTCCACCATTAATGTCCAATGGAACCTAATATATAGATATCGGGGTGGTACTGTTATTGCTCACGCATACAAACAAACACACCTTTACATTTATAATTAGTTAATAAAAAAAATTAAGAGGATAGTTCGATTTAGACCTGCGTATGTACTTTGACGCATTTTGGGTCATTATCCTTCCCTTTACACCTTGTAGGTATAATATCTATTAATCACTTGAACCACAAGGGTATTACTAAAATACCACAGCAAATCCACTAAAACAAAGCCACGTTATTGACAAAGATGTATGCCTGATTTCGATGTTCTGATCTGATATACTAGAGCTTTAAGCAAATAAATCCCATTATGTTGCTGGATACGAAATTGATTTTTAACTTCTCCTTTTATGAATCCATTTCAATCATATAAAGCAAATGGGAATCAAGGAGGATTTCAAATGAAATTCTGTTTCATTGACTAACGAAAATCTGCTGTTTTAATCAAAATGGAAATAGCTTTGGTAAAGATTATTGCACAAGACAAAAAAAATAGATTTAAAACTTTATGCTTACACATAACAAGATTCTGTAGATTGTAATAACCAATTGTTTCTATTTTAGTACAATATTAAAATAATTGGATATTTATTATTGTATAAAGTGGCACTTAAAAGAAAACTTAAATACAATTTAAAAAAATAATAATTATATCACAAAAGTGGCAAACAGGCATTGAGCCCTCAGCCTGTCTAATAACAAACAGTTATTATAGTCAATAAAAACCTGTAGCACTAGGGTTGTCACGTGCATATTACCAAACCTAGCAAAACCCTAATACGCCCTTTTTGAAGAACCTCATATTGTATATTTTTTTATCTTTATTTATTTAGAGATATGCCCTTTAAGGTACATCAGTTTCATCGCACTTTAATCAATTTCAGAACATCGTTGGATTTATTCTAACAGTTAAAAAATACTCCCAGTATAATTATGTAATAGTAATGAAAGGAAAGTCGTGAAAATATGATATAAAGAAAATACAAAAATAACTTACGCCTAGATGTAGCCCTCAATGGGATAGACTTACACTAAAATCTAATTCTAACCATATCACATAACAACCTCGCATAGTGTGATGATAATAATGGTACAGCCGTCAAATGTCTACTGTTACAGATACAGTACATAGGGTTCTGTCAGTGGTTGTCGCGCTTGGCAGGTAGGTTGGCAACTACAGCTAGGCTTTGGTGACGTTTTAAGAGGGACGCTACTATAAGTAGTTGGTCATTAAATTCTCGTATTCGCCTTTTACAACAGCCACGGAAAAGGAAAAAGCGGCCTATTCTATGCTGGAATCACACTATCCATATATACACATATATTATATATTTTATTAATTAAAATAAATCTAATCAACTAACCCCATATTGTAGCATAAACCGTTACATTTTCATCATACCCCATAATAAACATTCAAATAAATTCAGGTATATAAACAGTTTATGTAGCATCACTCTTTATTACTATGTAAATGCGTATCTTCTACCGTGATAATTTAATAAACTTACTATTATAGACAAAAACGGAGAGGAAAAGGAAATAGACTAAATACGTTGTTATTCGATTCAATCACAGGCCCATCTAGGATACAGGCGGGCCGGGGATCACAGCCCGCATACTAAATTATTAGCCCTTAGTTATTTATGCATCGTGAGCTAACATCTTAATAGCAAGTGAGAGTTATGTCCAGCCTAAAATAATATTTTGTGTAAATGTTTGAAAATAAACAAGCGGTGTTCAAGCGGTGCGCTTTACAATCACAATATGTCGTAACTTTGCAACGTTGCGCCGTTTTGTGGCAATTTAATGTTGAAATGAGTTATTATAAGGGTTTCATTTGAAATTTACGAACAAATGTAATGAGATGAAATATTTGTATAGCTTACCTTTGGATGTGCTCTTCTTGGAAAGGCCACTTTGGGGTCAATCTGAAAAGAAAATTTGAAGCTTTATTATTTGTTTTTTAAACTTAACACAATAGTAGTTTTATCTATAATCGCTAGTCTATTTATTAGTATCTTTCTCTTTTAATAAGCTTTAAACTGATAATACTTGTATGTTACAACTTCAGACAGAAGAAAAAAGTCTTTTTCTTCTTTCTGAAGTTTACTCATTACGTTCATGAGAACAACATTATAGGATACATATAATGAATATAATTGATCACATTAACACATCATTAAGAAACGAAAATTCAAACTAAACATTCTAAACATTTTAATATTATTACAATTTGTTCATATTAATAAAAAAATATTACGCCATTTTACTTATTTTGGAAACTTTACTAGCCAAATCGCTCGCTAAATGTTAGGTTATATCATTATAAGTAGTAAAAAAAATATTTAGAGAAGTTCGTCCCAACTAATCATGGTCCGGCTCACTGTGGAACGAGGCACGATAAATTCGGAACGCCCGTGCGGTTGCACTGTCCAGTCCAAAATCCGGGACTGCAAAAAACCATCGGACTGAAAATCCTGCGCCGTGGTCCTGTCACTCGATTTCGCCTCTCGTCTTTTTCATGTAACCGAGCGCTATTTCATACGTGGCAGTGTATAAGCCCTCAGATTTTCTCCCGGCAGCGAGCGGTACTGTGTCTTTTTGTTCGTATTTTGGCGCGCCGTTGACCGCTATAAACGCAAAATATAAACCCAAAGAAGCTACCTTTGACATTTTTAGTGATAAAACATTTCATTTGCACTACAGTTGACAATTTTGTTAAAAAATATGGCCGTTTTTTAGCAAATAAAATATTTAGATGGTGCGCTTTTGTGTAAAATTTACAAATGTTTTCACTCAGTACTTGGAATTTTTTACACGACATAAATTTTATTACACTACTTTTATTTACAAAATTGTCGCACAAATAATTTGTAATATTCCTAATTTTTTTAACGTAGTCGGTTAAAAATTAAGAAATAATACAAAAAAATATTTAATTTATGTAAAAACTAAATAGGTACATTGAAATACTATTCTAACATTAAATATTATGCAAGAAGTTTTTATATAATAAAATATTTACATTTTGTATATGAAACAATATACGACACCCCAAAAAGCTTTTTTTGCTGTAATTAATAGATACAAATGAATAGGAATTTAACATATAAAAATAGGTTACTTTTGTCCCGGTCAATCAATATGGCCTGCTCCCGGTCATACCAAGGAAATAGCAGATACAGTTAGTACCATTCCTTATCGCTAATTATCCAGAATCAATTCAAAAATATGCTATGCAGATACATCACAATTATTAACCGAAAGTGTGACAGAATTATTTAAAAGATTTCACCCAAGAGGACTGCATTATTTCAATATCAGGAAAACGGCTTTACAACGTCATTCATACATTCTTAATTATTTAATTATCTTTTGAGTGCGCCACGGCATGCCGCGGCTGCAGAAAATCCTGTACAATTTGATTAAATTGGATTTTCCACGGAGAGAAAATTCATTTTTATGTCCGAGTAATGATGTTATAATTAGAGACTTTGATAACGAGCACTCATGTTGGCGTGTAAGTAAAAAGTGCACACAAAACTAGTGTAGGTATATAATAAAGTTGTTGGGACGTTTTTGGTCGGCTCACGCAAGCAATTTTGTAAACGTTGTAAAATGACCACGAAAGTATACAGAGCAAGCAGAAAAATCATAAAACCCCAGATGGTGGCGCTAAAGCGATTAAGCGGGTCGATGATAAATTTTAACGAGTTATTTTAATGGAGGCGATCGCAGTCAGTGGCTAGCCGGCAGCCTGCGTCGATAGAAAAATAAAACGAAACTCAAAAACTCTGTTTAAATACGTGACTCGGTGATTTTTTTTATTATAAAATGTTTCGTGAAGTTTTAATGGTAATGACTTTTACAAACAGTCTTTTAAAACTGGAAGATGGAATTTATTTAAATTATTATTTCAACTTGCGATATTAATAATTATAAAGACTTTGGTAGGGATTTTATACAGTTATATTATTTGAGGTTTTGTTATAAAATTTAAAAGGCTTTGAAATGTAGACAAATTAACAATTAGACTATTTACCTATATAGGTGTATATACACACGTATATATATAAAAACGATGCTGAGTAATTGACTGACCCATATTGCAATATATAATGCACAGCCGAAATCTTGAAACTTTGCAGATAAGTTTTTTATATACACCTTACCATCAGGCGGGCCACGTTCTTCTTTGCCAACTCAGTGGTATAATTAAAATAGAATAAGTGAACAATAAGAAAGAAGGTTTGAAAATTAATTTTCATATAATGACCATTTCCTTCATATGCTTGTTTTCATCTTCGTAGTATAAAAAGGAGGTAGTATTGTATGAACGTGGTATAAAACTTCCAACATCCGCGCGTATCTTCCTACTATTGTTGACATGCGTACAATTCCCATATCGACAATATTAGGAGGATTTATTAATACTCGAACAATAAATAAAATAATTTCGAAAGAGTTGTATAACTAGAATCATAGTTTTTATCTCGCCTATTTTAAACATGTTATTTTTTATATATTTTTATGGCAATCAACAAACAAAAGGACTACCTCTAGATACTTAAACTATTGTAACGAAGAAGGGGAGCAGGAGTAGATTGTCAGTAATGAGGACTAGAGACCTCATTGCTAGCATAAATCCTACTAAGTCGACCTCCACGCGGTCCCTCTTGGAAACCATCTTAGCTAAATCCCGATAAAGTTATCACGATGAGCTAACTGACCTTACTTCATCCTCACTTATCGTCCTTCACTGAAACCCTACCAGTATATACCGAAAACGGAGGCGGAAATATTTTCAAATATATATATAAAAATATATATATGATGACGAAATAAAAATAGTACAATGTGTCACCACTTATTTTCATCCTCAGAATTGCGATTAAGGGGATAAGTACAATATGCCAGTGCAAGAAAAGGGAAACTCGATAAAATAAAACCCTATACGAAGCCTTATCTTATGGGGAGAGACCCGTGTCTAGCAGTGAAACGTTAATGGGTAGTTATGGTATGGTATCTAAAGGTAATATGGTGTTTAGGTGCAATTTTCATTTGTTACATTGGAAAGATAAAAACGAAAGTATAATTACATTGCTAGTTTTTACCTATGTTTTCGTTCACATAACCGGAATAATATCCATTGACTATTTCTATTATATGCTACTCCATCCCAAATACTACTTGTATGCCAAATTTCATAAAGATTAATTAAGCCAATTAAGGTACGAGTACAAATGTCACACTGGCTTTTTCTACTTCTTTCACATAACCTTTTCCATCCATCCCACACGTCATATACGTGTATACCTAATTTCATACCGATTGGTTAAACTGTTTACCTAAACAATAATAGATAATATACTAACTTTTACATTTATAGTATTAGTAGTGAACTGAAGTGGTTAGTTAATTATACAGAATGGTTAAAAAATTCATTTCTTGTGTTAATTAATCAATACAAAAATTATGTGTATATATATATATATATATATTATATTATTATATGCATCACCTCTATATTTTAAAAAAAATAGAATTTCATCGTGCCTTCGATCAAACAGTTTATAATTACTCCTCTTCATCCAAATATTGCCTAGAAGAGATTGCATTTAGCAATAAGGTCGCCCAATGTTTTCTCATTGTGATTATTTCTTGTAATTGTTTATATTTATAATAAGTTTACTATTATAATCTTTTGGAGGAAACAATAAAGAGTATCTATCTATTAGTATGAAATAAATACTACTATATAATACTAGGTAAGCCCTCGACTTCATCCTCATACAAGAAAATAACTACAACGGAAACATATTGTTTGAACGAAATAACAAACAGCCTTCTTCCTAAGAATTACTACGTATATTCAAAATTTCAAAACAATTAGCTGATCTGTTAATTTGTTGAAAAATAACTAACACTCACTCTCACTTAGATAAGAAACAAACAAATTGTCTTTTACATTTATACTTTTAGTAAGAAACTAGAGATTGCTTCTACGACTCACTGACATAACACATTGTGAGTTTATAACCTGAAAGCCCCAAATAATACTCCTGCGCAAAAATGACAGCGAAACATCGATAGGAATGTGACATTTTGATATGGAGCCATTTGCGTGATTACAATCGACGCAGCGGCGCACCCTCCTTAGCCGCGTTCGACCTCCCCCTTCCTACAACTTCCCTTACGATAAAGATTGACATCGCTGCTTTTAAATTTCAAATTATCCTAAGTCAAAGAACAAGATACATTCCAAAGTGCACCTCATTGTAACCAAAATAAGAACTAAATTCTTTTAAACACTTTACAAATTTTGGCGTGTCATCGCAAGAAAAGATTGTAGGCGAAAGCACATTAGTGGGATATCACTACTGGTTGGAAAGAGCATGTTCGCTTTATGTACTCGGAGCGATGGCATCGACGTAAAGTCGATCACGTTAAATTTTATATTAAGCAAACAGTGAATATCGATGTGTCGTGCGGTTTCATGAGACACGCTCTGACGTGGTACGAAATAAACGATTTAATTTCAATTACATTTCATGTAACTCACAAATTCGCGATATATATGAAAATGAACATTGATATGCTGTAATCCCTAATCATAGCTATTCATTGACTATTACCTTTGTGGAGAACGTAATACTAAACATGGCTGCATTTCGCAGAGCGTATTCAAATCCAAAATTTGGTTTGAAAACTTTTTTCCATCAACGGGGAGTTATTTGAAAATTTAAATTGAGAACACAAAGTTTTTGACCAGATTCAAACTCACAACCTCTGAAGTCTATAAGCTATTATGTTTATTATAAGATTCTTATCTTTGTACGAATAAAAATAAAGTTTATTTTACGTCAGTTACTCTTAAATGTTTAGACTTAAAGTGAACTAAAGATAATTTCATTTAAATCCACTCTAG